TAGGTTTAAAAACAGTTTGTTTGAGGCAAGACGGAGCTGAGTTTTTCCAAACAGAGCTAAGTTTTATTACCGAGCATTATTTCTTAAGGCAGTCTTATGCAAAATTCGTTAAATCGTTACACTGCTTGTAAATACGGCGTTGTCAGTTGGCTGGGCTGGACATTAGGTCCCGATTTATAAAGCAGTAACCTATTATACAATGAATTCAGCAGTTAGAACTAGTTAACTAAACCAGGAATATCATTATAATTGTTTCCGTTCTAAATACTTGCCCAATTAGTTTCCATCCGGAATATAGTATTGATTTCCTTGTATATATTAACCATACCTAGGAGAAGTATGATGTACTAACACTAATCCCTCTCGTTTGCATTTAAATGTCAACAGTCTGTTTAAACAACTGACGTAATGTTGGTATAGTCAGCCACTTAAATGGAAAATACAGAGTGTTTCAAGACGTTTCCTCGTAACCAATACGAACTAATATTTCCAACTCAATCCATATAGACTCAATAAATTTGGTTTATATGTGTGTGTAGTGCATGTGAATGTAGCACTACTAAAAAAAATAGTGATATGCTCCCCCTAGGGATTATGCTACTCGAATTTTTATTTCTCTCGTAATTACTTCTTTATTGATTAATGTATGCCTCAAGATTAAAAATTCGATATCGAAAATTCCAGAGAATCTTGAGATCCTGAAATAAAATCGTTTAATTAAAAACGAGCCTATTGGGTTGAAGAAAAAAGCAAACTTAAAGCTGAACTGACAGAAGAGTATAAAATTAGGAAAAAGAAAATCTGAAAGATTTCAGATTTCAAATTACGTCCAAAGGTGCGTTTTTTTAACGTTTTGTTTGTTACCTTTATTTATTAAATATCATGCCCTTCGCACTGATTTCATTTTTACAAACTGCAATTTCTGTAGCTTTTTTAATTGCTAAAATTTCAGCTTGGAAAACTGTATATCCAAGGCACAGGCATCCTTTTTAGCATATTTTTAGGTTTTTGGAATTTATCGAAAATACAGGCTCATACTAGTTTTCTTCTAGTTTAGACCCATCTGTAAATATTATCTGGTACGTACTATTATTTACAGACTGTTTAAACTACATTTTTATGTTAGGAGAATTTGCAGGGGGCAGAAAATATGGAGAGGTTGGGAATTCAAGGTTATTCGGATCGTAAGTTAGTCCGTATAAGAAAGCGGGTATTATTGCGGTAAATTGAAAGCGGTAAAAGTGAAATTTCAGTTTAAAAGTGTTGTGTAGTCAGACACTATACAAAATCGGCCTACTTAAGATGGCTCAAAACTTTAATGGCGCATACGTCGGCTAATGGCTAAGGCTGAAATATTAACAGATAGAGCTGGTGGTAGAACATCAACTGCAAGTCTCAGTGCCGAAAACTACATATCTAAAACATCCATAACACTCGACTTAAATACTCTATCACCTAATTTGCATCCTGATGACAGCTACTGAAAGAAGAAGTTGTAATAAAGATAATCATTATAATAGGTTAACTAAAATAAAATACCTTAAGCATCTTAATTTTTATTAGATGGAATCATGTTAATTAAACTATTACGAAAGTTATTCCTTACAATTTTTTCACCTTTGTTATATGACATTTTAAGTTCTTTTGGAGGCAAAAAACAATAAATATATTTCCAAATGAGTCTTAACGATGCATTTAGCTGAAAATAGATCATGTACAGCTAAAGCAACTTTATTAAATAGAATTGTAACAGTAGTAAGAATACCAATAAGCATCTGACAAGGAATATAATCCATTAATTTTCTATTTTTCGGCTTTATAAAGCAGTATACATTAAACACAGGTACAGGTGACTGAGAACGAGGGCATCTGGTGGCTAACACTGATAAAATGGTGTTTGTCTCGAACTCCCCACTGTGTTGTATACCGAACTCAAACTCCCCACTGTGTCGCAGGATCCATTGAGGCTGCATGACGTCTCATAGGGAATTCATTTCAAATTTTAAACTAATTATATTACCAAAAAAGGAAAAATGTTGTAATGTTGCAATGTGGAGGAACATCACTATGTTGAAAAAAATAAGAGCTTTGAAACGAACTATCTGTGGAAAATATGATTTTCTATTGACTCAATTCTGATTTTGCATTCAATTGCCTAGCCGATCTGCCAGATTACGGTTTTCCCCTTCATCACAGCAGGGATTTAGCTACAAAAATTATTTTATAGCTATCTTCTCTTTATAAATGATTTACAAAACGAAATTACAGTTCATGCAATGTATTGGCAGTATGCAGAAATAAGGGTTAATTCTTCCTTGCGAATTTTCTCTAGCATACAAAAATATTTATAATAAGGATTAAAATATAATTGCAAAATTTTTTCTACTTTATTAAAATTTCAATTAGCGGTCTGTATTTATCACTATCCTAACTATGCTTACACGCATGACACCAATGATATTTAAGTATTATTTATTAAAGCATATTTTGTGCTTCCTTTGGCAATGACCATTTTTGAAATTGTGCGAATGCAGCTTCAAACATGTCAATGTATGAACTTCACAAAATGCAGTACAGTATTTCTACATCCAATATTAGGAAAGGGAAACAGATGTAGGCTTAAAAACCTTTCAGAAAACTCTTGTACATAATCACGATTAAAAAAGTTCAAATTCAATATGCCTATAAGAAGCAAAGGAGTAAAATCAAGCGCAAATAAAAAATAATCAACTGAATGTTATTTTATGTAACACATAAACTTCTTAATTATAGATTAATATATATTATATTAAAATATTCCTATTCGACATTAGTTCATAATAATCACAACACGTAAATGACACTGCAATAACAACGATGAATGTAAAATGTAGCATGAATTTTAATTTTATCATAAATGCCTATAATATATATTATATAAGAGTATATATTCAAAATAAAGTAATTAAAAGTAAATGTTGTGAATTATTAGTTTATATAAGATTATTATATAAGACTGCATACTTACCACACTGATAGGCATTAAAATTGCTGCACCAGAAAGGAAAGCATCTGACAAAATCTTACTTATTGAAATTACATAGTAAACTGGAAGGAAGACATAGAATTTTCGCGTGTTTTGGAGTACACTACCTTGCAGAATTCAGTACACAGAGCTCCCACCTCTGGTAGTAACAACACCAGTTACGGCTGGGCATGAAGTCGAATTGGATGACAGATACGGGTATTTTATTCCATGTGGCTTCTATTCTATGCTAGAGTTCATCAATCGCAGTGGCTAGCGAATGATGGCGAGCCAGTCTCTCGGCAACATATAATAAGATGATCAGAATGGATGAGAAACCCGACGAACGTGCTGCCAAGACAACGTTTGAATACCCTGTGTACTGAAGAGGGTCAGAACAGTTCGGGCAACATGTGGTCGTGCATTAACTTGTTGAAAGGTGGTCTCAAGGGGGCCTCAAGGGGGCCTCAAGGGGGCCAAGTCACATCCACGGGCCTTAAAACGTCAGAAATGTAACGGCGGCTGTCAACATTGCCGGCTATGCGAACATGAAGTGACCGAGATGACTATACTAGCACGCCAGTGACGATGACAAATGTCAGCTGGCAAAATTTCGTTCTCCTCAGTGCCTCCGCATACGGATAGGTCGATCATGATGCTGTATGCAGAACCGGGATGCGTCTGAAAAGATTAAGTAATGCCACTCCTCTATCCAGTACTCGTCGTACCACAGCGGATAAGTATCTCTCTGCTGCAGCGTCAAAGGAAACTGCAACAACCATCTCCGCGCTGAGACTATGGTTCTATATTATGTCATCGTACTGTCGGTATGAACACTTCGTCCAACTTGTCATGCACAATAGTTAAGTTCCTGACTCAGGGTACGTTACGTGGCTGTAGCATCCTGCAAGGCCGAAAGCGCAGCATGTCCCTCGAGTGTCAGTCGGCTGGGGCCACTGATATGCTGCAGGGCTTCAATATGGCCTTGCTTGCCGCATCGATTTCCTATTTTTCTGACAGTCGTGGAAGCTGATTAACACGAGAAGCAATGTGGCGGAACATTAAACCGCAGACACTTTAGGCCACGATCCTGCCGCCATCGAATTCTGATACATGCTAGTAGGAATTTCTTTTTCTTATCCGAAGAGTTTTATACAAATAAATATTTTCCAAAAGCGATTTTCAATATGCAACCCGATGTAAATGGCATCATTTATACTTGCTTTGTGCGTGTGTCTTGGAAGGCTAATTATTTGCAAACTTGAGCGTGTAGTACCTTTCATGAAAATTTTATGTTTGTTGTATGCCACCTTGATGCTGTAGCAATTTTAATGTTTAACAGTGTATTTTATCAACGACAGCAGCAACACTGATTTCTGAAAAATATATGAACACTATATTTAATTTTGCACTTTTGTTTCAGAAATTATTTTAAACTTTATTAAAAATAGAATAGTATTCTATAAAATTCTTTAGATTTTTCCATTCATCCGAAATAATGGTCAGTTCTTTTTACAGAAAAGGCAACTATTTTACTAAAAACTCTTTTGTTTGCAAATTTGAAAATAAACTTTAAAATCTCACCCCATTGCAATATTTTCTAAGAACTGGAAAAACTCGAAATTAGAGAAGTAAACGCTCGATTCTTTTGGATTTGGTTTTCTAGAATATGAAAACAGATACGAAGGCTATCTGCTCGCACGATTTTTTTGAAAATGAGTCTCATAAATAACAGCTGTGCTATTTAAAAGCACGTGGGATCGTTTCTTTAGGTAGAAGGAAACGCGTTTTTTTCAGGATTTATGACATGCGATTGCACTTTGTTTAAAATTGCTTTAACTTTCCCATGCAAAACAATATATGAGGAAAATTTTATTTAATATCGAGGGAGCATTGTTACCTATCATAGCATGCAACAGCATAATGTTTACATAATACATTACTTTTACATTTAATATAAAAGCTCTCTTACATTCTGATCTTCTTCATATCGGTTATATCTCCACCATGTTCTCTTTAAGATGTGTATTGGTGGCAGGTCTCATCAGCATGACAGTGGCCAGAAGGGGTTGGGGGGATTCCTCGGAAGGACCATCTGGCTCAGATGGCGGAACATATACTGGGCCTAGAGGGCCACCACAAGCAGGTCCTCCAGAAGGACCCTGGGAAGGTGGGCCTGAAGGATCTCAGAGTCAATATGAAGGTGGGTATAGTGGTCGAGGACCCTCAAGAGGCCAAGGGGGTCCTAGAGGTCCACGTGGACAAGGAGGTCCAGGTGGACTTGAAGGTCAAGATGGTGGAAGCAGAGGTTTCCGGGGACCTAGACGCCGAGGGGGACATGGCGGGAGAGGCAGGCAATGCCTTATGTTCCCAGCATGCAAACAACTCAGTAAAGCAATACAAGAAGAAATGTATGGTAAGAAATTTCCTTCAAACTGTTTCGTATTTTAAATCTCTTCCTTCAAATTTTTCATTGCAGATGTAATTTGGATTGATTATGCATATAAGAAAATTTAAACAAAATTATTATATAATGTCATGTTCTGACGTTGAGGAAAGACGCGATTGCATGTGACGTCACTGTATGTCGAAAATGTTTCGTTAATGTCAGCATTTTAAATAAATATCTGCTGTTGGATGCTGAAGGTTTTTGATTAGTTTCAGAATCATTTATGCATGATTTAAGATTTGCGACAGGTAATCTGTAAGACTGCTCAAAAAAAGTAGTGTATTGTACCTTAAATATTACTACTAAATTATCTCTTTTGGTTGCCAAGTAGGCTTTCAGTCACTAAAGCAAATTAACAATGGCCGATATTTTGTACAGGTCGTAGGATTGACATTTCTGTTCTAATTTTTGCATTTTACTAAATTAGCTATTTTCCCCAAGTTTAATAAATGTTTTAACTGCAAACTACTTAACACTTTTAATATGCTATACATTGTTAGTCTTGGTTCTGGATTCAACTATTAATAGCTTCCTTGGATGAGAATAATGTTTATTATATCTTCCACCATTAAAGTTGGCTGAAAGTTTGGACATGCGCTGTGAGTGATTTTTATCAACTGCCTTCGTTACAATTTACTAGTCATGCATTTACGCGGCTAAAAATAAAAAATGCGCTATATACTTTTTGTCCGTAGAGAAACCAGCGACCTCATAAAGTATATCTAAGCAGTCCAAGGAGATGATAGTCTTCCGGGAAAGGGCTGTGCTCCAGGTTGCCAACGGAAGGTTTCAACGTATTGAAACCAAATGCTAGTTAGTTAGCTACATAATTTCAAAGGATTTACTGTAATCTGTAATGGAAAAATTCCTCCTTTATAGGATCGGACCAGAATGGTTTACTCACTGAAATGAATCGATTATGACTCATCGTTTACTAACATTAACTTCGATGGAAAAAAAAATCGAAAACGAGGGGTTAACCAAGAGCGGTTAGCGAAGAAGGAGCGAAATGAATTGAATGAGTAGTAAATTAACTCAATTAAACACTAACTGCCTGAACTGATTTCTTTTAACTGCAGACATAAAATTTCCTAAAAACCCCTTTAATATGAGATATGTATTCTTTTCTCACCTAAAATGGGAATCGAACAGTCTTAACACGCTTCCGACAAAGGTTCCGCTCTTTTTTCGCAAATCAGGTGTTTGCTCAGACAATAAAGTAAATCATTTCGTTAACGAACAGCAGACCTCTGTTCCTCGCACGATTCCAACAAGAGCTCTCCGAGAACTGTGAAAAAACTGTCACTCCATTTTCTGTAGTTAGAATAAATTTGCTCAGTAAAGTGAATCGGTTCTTCGAATCAGTTTCGGAACAAGTTGTACCCATCTCACACTGATTTATTGGAAGCTCGATGTCTGTGATTCGATTTGAAAGTAAGAATCATGACTAATGTGCAGAAAATACGCTGGTCAATCGACGGCAATATGCCAGTTCGATAGTACTACATCTCAAGCATTCTGGTTCTTCTTGTCAACACAAAAGGACGTCTTGCTCTTTCTTTGCGTACTATACGCTTGCCGAGTGACTTTCAAATTTCTCCACCCATTCACGCGTACATGCTGAAAGAACATTATCTCTGTCAAGCACGCTACAGGATGGAGCACTATCTCTTTATTGTGTCGAAAACCTTCGATGATTATCAACTTCTGGTGTTCCTTCTGACTAGGGCAGAATTTCTCAAACTTGAGAAATTTTATACTAGTTCTGCATAAATAAGAATGAAAAATATATGAACCATCATGTATCAATATTATGTGTCAAAAGGGGTACCATTTTACATTCATTTTGAACATTTATTTAAATCCTTTGTGTAGAAATTGTACGTCTAAAAATAATGTAATATTACCAATGGTATAAGCACCATAGTTTGAGAAACTATAAACTAGAGAAATTGAATCAGTACTCTTCATTCCACTGTGTTGCAGACTGGTAACGGAGAGGCCATGTGTACATTGTTACAGAAAAGAGAAAAATGATGCAATCAAGATCAAAGTTTGATCACGAAAACCACAGTAATAACAACCATAAGCGAGCATGCGCAAAAGGCAGAGAGGAAAACTAAAGATGTCTTCCGGGAAAAAAGTGCGAGCAATTTTTGACTTTGCTGAATAATACTGAATGAACTACTGAATATGTCAAAATTGGATGCACTTATTGGAAATAGGGATGTATATTTATCTAAATAAGCATATGTGTACAAAATTATAAAAATATTTAAATGTTTTGAAGAGTTACAATAAATTAATTATTGAATTATATATATAATTAAATGAATTAGGTATATGTATTATTAATAGATCTGAGAAATGCTATAATTTTTTTTAAATTTAAGACATCTTTAAGCTTCCCGTTCCCTTAAATTACGCAAAAGTTACGTAAAGAAATTTATGCTATGTGATACAGATATCTACATTTATTTATATACAAAAATAAACATCATTGTATATATATTTTATAGCAATGTTCCAAAGAGGAGAAGGAGGTCCAGACAACTGTGTGGATGGAAATCATAAAGTGAGTAGTTTGAAATTCAAGTTTAAATAGAAAAAAAGAAAGAAAAGTGTGAAAAGATTAATATTTAACATCTAACCAGAGAGTTTGTTATATTTTTTATACTCTCGCTGAGCTCGCAGTCTGCTCTTGGACTCACCTCTGTTAAAACAACTTTTCTCTTTCTTTTTCTTTTTCTTTTTTTTTTTTTTTTTATTTTTTTAGCTTCATTATTAGCATTGCTTTCTTTGCAGCTTCACCCCGTGAAATTCAACAGCAAAATCATAAAATCTTAAATTTATATTTTTTTAGAAATAATATATGGCAATAAGATATAGTGTCAACGTCTTTTAGTTATGCTGCCATACATTTTATATGCCTGTATCACTTATTTACATTATTTTTGTAAGAATAAGGCATGGTGAAAATATTAGATGGCAGCATCCTTTTATTTGAAACGTGATACGGGCAAAAAAGAGGGGTTTGGGATAATAGCACATCCTGTGTTAGAAACACGGATGAGTTATGTAATAACTTTAATAATTACTTTTTTACAATGTTATTTTGCTAAATATTCAGTCCTATATTAGTTTAATTTCAAAAGAGTACAATTATTCAGATTACATATATATCCATAACTCCGCATATCTTAATCGCTTACTTTGGATGTAAAGAAGAATGCAATTAGGCTTTTTCCGTTTATTTATGTATTTTTAATTTTTATACTGATAAAAATATTGAGAAAATATAATGTAATTCAATGCATATTTTTTAAAGTTACTATAAATTTAGATCAACGGAAAGAATAAATAATAATAAATAAGCGGATAGAATAAAATAGTTTTGTAAATATACTGTGCGTAAGTATTATCGGGGAAGCAAATGCGTTGTTCTTCGTTTAATCTATGAATAACTACGCAATACTTTTTCCTAAAAATGATTGTTCAAGCGCATTTATTCACACCAATTTCTTCTTCGCGCAATGAATTTTTGTTTTACAATATAAAATGTAACTGCTTAGATTATTTCTTATTAGCATCTTGTGAAAGCAATAATAATTTCAGTGCTTAAATTGTTAATTTTTAAAGTCTATAATTTTTCGAATATAATGTAAGATAAACAAACAAACAAAAAATCTCACATTTGCATTATAATTTAGCTCGCAGAAGAAGAGGGATATTACGTTTGGTTTATTTAATTACAGCAAAGCAATCGGGAGATGTCTGTCTAAAGAAAGGAACTGGGAAACTGGGAAAGTGTTCGAAAGCGTTACTGACGGTTCTAGACGGTCAGTGGTGAAGACCTCGAAAGCGCTATGACCGCCTTAAAGCGGCCGTGCAGATGTCTCCCGCCCCCCTTATTTCTGGAACCCTGGAGATCTCTAAATGACAACTCTCAGTAGGAGTTTAAGAGGGTTGCTCTTCTTCGTTTTAGACCTCTACGTTTTATCGCCAAGAAAGTGTTTAGACATACGACAAACTGACGCGAACATTCTTCACTATATAAATAAGCAGCATGTAAAAATTTCCCAATACTATGTTTAAACAGATAACATTTTCATAAAATATCCTTTAGATTTCAAACTAAATGCTCAGAAATATGCAAAATGCTTGTGAATTCAATTAAAAATAGCATTTCAAAAATATTTGCACTATTTAAATAAATTTACTTATGATTATGTAGATTTATAAAACCGGCAAGTTAAAAACTTTCAATTAATTCACTCGAACCGAATAGTACTGCATTCAATTAACCTGAATTACATGCAATTGGATATAAAGAATAACATTACTTAAGCAATAAGTCAGATAAAAATTAGAAAATCAATAGTCTATTTTAACAAGTTATAATAAGCGTATTCTTGATAGGGGTTTATTAAAACACAAACTAATTTAATAGTAAATATAATAATAGCGACTTAATTATTCTTTTTGGAACAATATTCGTCGCTTATACTGGTTTGCTGAAGTTTTGTTCTAATGCATTTTAAATCGTCCAAAGCTTTTAATGTACATTGATATGAATGTGATTTTTATTAGAAAAAATTTTAATAAGTTTGATTTTCTTGTGTGCTCATGCTTTACGTAATATATATTACTTTGCTCAACGCAATGAAACTACAAGCAGCAAGAGGAGTTAAAATTTCCATATTTTGTTACATAAATTATTAAAATACTATACAGCGTAACATCTGAGTTTCCGAAATGTAACCCGCAACTTTTCTAGGAGTTACAAATTCGAATTAAAAAAATAGCAGTAATTAAATAATAAAAACTAAATACTAATAACAAAAAAAGCACGAAAGTTTGTTTTATGTTTGCTTAGTTTATTTTATTGTTTTGGGATATATATTGTTGGCGAATGGTGAAGTTGTCGTTGGCAAATGACACATAATAAAGATAATAAAAAAGAATGATCTGTATTATTTATTATTTAAAATGCATATAAATTTCCTCTAAAATAGTATCGGTCGTAGACTGAATGTTGTTTAGACAGTTGCAATGATATTTTAACTTGATTAACATATTAAATACAGTTTACTTTTCGATAACTTCGTCAGCAATCTGAAGAACCTTTTCGACTCATTAGATGATTTTGAATAAAACTTGGATTAGTCCAATTTAAAAAATATTTAGAATTACCAAAATAATAAAAGCTAATCTTATTTTAATTTCTTTATCAAAGTACTACATTATTTATTCAGTGAGAACTGATCATAAAATCTGAGCCTTCTGCCCAAGATTCATAGGTCTAAGCAGTAAAAAAAGCTTGTCCTTCTAGAGAAAATCGTCATATGTTATGGAAAAGATTTTGCAAGACATCATTATTTTAGACAAAACACGACTTTTTTAATTTAATCTCATGTATTAGAGATCTAGTATTTTACCATAACTTTGTTTTCACATATGCAGATGATCGCCGTGGTTTTAACTTCCATACCTTAAATTAAAGAAATACATATAGCAACTTCAACCATGAACGTTTGACTTAAATTTTTTTGACACGCTACGCGAAGGTATGACTAAATATTGATTGATTTTACATTTATGTTAAATTACAATGATTAAAAAACAATAGCTGTAGATGTGTAAAAAACCTGTACATGTATCCTTCTGTATTTCTAAAGGAAAGCTTAAAATGGTTCACAATAACGTATGGCTTTGATCATTCAGTAAACTCATCGTAGGTACATTCAGTTCGCGGTTTTGAAGAACTGCAGTAGTTCAGATTTGTCGCCTATAAGAGTAATTATACTGCTGGGGGACTGCTTTACTTACGGAACGCAAAAACAAGTTTTTAAACATACGCATACAAAAAATGTATCTTTTCTCACAACATAAATGGCAGATGTGATAATTTGAACACATGCTTTCAATCAGTTGCTTCCTCCTCACAAAGGTTCCTAGCAAAGTCTTTTACTGTTTTAAATATGCTGTGTTCGAGCATTGTGAATACTTCCATTCATTATTTTTAATTTGGAACAATATTAAGTTGCAATTACTGGTTAAAATGACTTAAAATAAATTGATACATTATACGAAAGTTTGTAAAAATGAAAACTGAAGTCACTTCCTTTCACATAATTTCTGACTAGCTCTTCCAAAATATTTTAAAGCTTACTTTACAACATACTAGAAAAGTCTACATTTTGGGAAATTCATTTGCTGTTTTTAGTTAGTAGTTTTAATTGGGGTTGTTATGTAAGAAGGCATTTAATCGTTGTTGCTGTATTACAGTGCTTATTTTATTGTATAAGTACTTGTAAGGAAGCAATAATGCAAATATTGCTTTATTTGTTAATATTATAATGCATGGAGGAACTTAAAAAAAAAGAACAAAAATAATTTTTCCTTTATAATATGTCCTTAAAGGGTTTCCCAATGAAAACATAGATAACTAAGTAGTAATATTAATAACATTATATCAATTAATTTACTAACCGAATATGATAAAAATTTCAAATTCGAAATCCGTCTTTTTACTGAGTACTTTTCTCAGAAAGAAAAGTATCTTCAAAAAATCTATGCTGTTAATACATTTTTGGATAACTTCCTGAGAGGAATTCATTGATACTAATAATATATAGAATCTATTAGGTGCTTAAAGCCATGAAACAGGTAAACTTAACAACGCACTCGGCAGGCTCACGGTCATGGCCGTTTCGGTTTTTTAAATACAGGAAAGCTATGAAGACTATCTACCTTAGAGGAGGGATGCCTTCGTGGAGGATATTCTGAAGAAAGCTAGCTCTTAAAACTTATTCAGCTGGACGTACTGTTAATTCCATATATTCTCCTCTTTTAAAGACTGAAATTCGAACCATAGATCTTTCAGTTTATTAATAGGACCTGCTACTACTTGCACCACCAGGGGACGCAAGGCAAAAAAGGGTAAGTCTTTATAAATGTAAAAGCACGACAGCATTATATGATTTGTTGGACATCTTAACTTCGAAAATTATATGGAATGTATTTCCAAATGGATATTATGTTCGATTATTTTTTAACTTGTTGATTCTAAACCGATCGTCATCTTTTCAATCCAAAAAAATTTCGTATTATATCTAGATGCTATATAAATCATTTTATCTACATACACTAATTTACGAAATTTAACTTTTACATTAGTTCTACAGCAAGAAATTTCAAAATAGAAAGTGTTCTTAAACTGCAAAGCAGTTGTATGAATATAATAAGTTTCAGAAACTGTATTTACTATGATTTAAGGCTTTAAAATTTTAATATTTATAACAAAGATTTCAGGAGGCGTCTTGGCATTGAAATAATGGAATACTAATCCTGAATTCTTAAAACGTCCTCCAACGAAGGCATCCCTACTTTTAGACAGATAGCCCTAGAATGCTTTACATTAGTCAAATAAGCCAAAGCATACTGTTGCCGTAAAAAAAATATTGTATTTTTCTTACATAATTTCGACTGCAATTACTACGGAAAGATTTTATTTTTGTGCTAAATTCTGAATGCTTGAATTTTTATAGTACACAGAAACAGAGATAACAAAAA